CTTTGAAATAATATAATCTATGAAGTATAAATAGTTTGAGTGAGATTGCTTTAATGGAAGTATATAATACATAAACATTAATTTTATTGAGAATAAGCGATTATAATTTAAACTATGGAGTACAAACGATTGGAACATGAATCGTCGACCATTCCAACAAAATATAACAAGACATTGTATATGTGTTATTTGGTCCACTAAGTTTTTGCAAAAAAAAAAAAACCAGTACAGTGGGGTCGGTGCATAGTGGGGACGGAACATAGTTGGGTCGGGGCATACTGGGGATGGGAAGGTCACAGGTTTACAGAAATTTTTAAATCTGAAAGTCATAAAATCACTTTCGAAAAAACGCTTCGATGCAAATCGGTAGTTAGTATTTTCAAGCCAGTACAGTCCAAACCAAGCACAGTTTAAACCAGCAAAGTTAGAAAGTCTTAAATGAAGGTTCTGTATTTACAAATGAGCATTAAAGCGTTGATTTAAAAGCGATTTTATCTAAGAGGACTAGTACAGTAGAGTATTGGCATAATGTAATCAAAGCAATGAGGAAACGGAGAGGTCACAGGTCTACAAGAATTATTATAAATAAAAGTGATAAAATTGAATAAAATCAGGTAGGTACAAGTATTAGTTCAGCGTTTTCTATTTTTTTTTTTTTTTTTGCTATACATTAATTTTTAAAAAGCTCGTTGTTTCAAAATTCAACTACAAAGAGATAATTCACTTTTACAATGAATGACACAAGAATTACTATTACAGTGAGAGATTTTTAGAGAACAAATCAATTGTTACATTTATTCAAACCTACTGTTTCGGATAATTGATTATCACTTTCATAATCCATTTTCATTATCCAAAGTAACTTTTGTTCAACACTTTCATTTTTTGAAGCACAAACGGTAGCATATTCAGATATTCTGTATTTCTGTAAAACGTTTTTATGTTGTCTGGAAAATTATTTAAATACTGTCCAATCCAGTCAGCTTACCCTGAGACGTTTACGACCTTTTGCTTTTTTAGCATCGATATGGAGTCATAGAGATATATATTCAACGCTGTGGCGTGGTTACCGTGAATGCAGTGGAAAAAGCTGCCCAAGACGAATTCTAATTTAGGGAATTATACGTACGGTTTACCTGTACTACATTTTTAATTTATAAGTCAAATGTAACCTAAAATGTTTGTAACAGCACAGGTATATGCTATTAACAATCGTCATTTAACTATAATAATAAATGTTTAAAAATTAATATGATCAAATCAGATGGATGATTACTATTTACTCCTTAATAATATGTCATGCTGGCAGCACAACTAGCACCATTAATAATCGTATATTGTACACACATATTGTTAGTGTTGGCATTACTGGGAGGCGGTCTTTTTAGGGGCGGCGTTTTGTCGATTTTTTGTCCGGCGACGTTTTGTCGACTTTTTGTCCGGCGACGTTATGTCGGGCGACGTATTGCGGTGTAACCACTATTATTGATTCCATACTATCTAAAATTTTATCGCCTAACGCGCGGACAGGTAAATGATATTACTTTAATTGTATCTGGGGTCGCATTTATATTATTTCTGTAGGAGTATATACACAGACATACAGAAGCACGAAGATAATGATTATTACTAGACATTAAAAATTACGAGTTTACTTACTTACTTTTGACAAATATAATAACAACAGACTAGCAGTTATCGATGAAAATTTGATTATAACTATAGTAATAAATTAATACAATTTTAATATATAAAGATATTTTTTTGGTTTGTCAACGTTTTTCCGTTTACGTTGTATAGTACTTTATCCGAAGAATATTCCATAGAAATTTGGAACAAAATCGACTATTTTAAAAAAAGTAATATGTACATTTTTATGTGTTTTCCCAATTTTGAAGGGGAAGAAGTGAACTTTCAAAATTTTGCCCCAAGAAATAAACTTTTAGATTAGATTTAGATTTAGAACGGGAGGCACTTGTGACGGCCAACCCTTGTAGTCAGAACGATCGGCTGGTGGAAATAGTGATTGAATATTGTGAGAATAAACAATATAATCTCAACTATAATCGTTCATGCGTAGTTGCCGTTAAAATAGTGCAACTTTAATACAAATAACTCTATTATTGTTAGTTGTTACAATTCATAAATGTGAAACGTTTATAAAAATAGTTGAAAACATTTTGGTAAATATATTATTTTACTTATCAAATTAATCTGGATAGTTCATCATGACCCTCGGAGACAGTTTGGGATTAAAACTGTCATGGGTAGGAAAAATTCTGTTGCGGTGGCGTTTAATTTTACAAGTCAGTCACACGTTAGAAAACAGTATTTTATGGTGTTTAATTTTTTTTCCAAGACAGCCGCCAAAGGGTTAGAGATTTCTAATATATAAAGTAAATACATGAAGAAATCGGTTAACGGCATAGAAGATACGTCCAGACACAAAAAACAAAAATAAATACAATTAAAAACACATCATTGTAAAAACAATACCTTCTCAACTACGCACCGAAGCTAAAACAAAAATTGTTTTTTGGTAAAATATGCCGTTCTTAAAAATATAATACATAAGGACTCGTTTTAATCATCAAGACATAATATTAGGTAACTCACGGAGCATGATCTAACCTCTCTCTGGATAGTTTTTTTTATTCAGCGAATTTAAATTCCCTTTATTCTTTATCCAGCGAGATAAGGGTTTTCTATACTTAGGTCAATACTTCCTAGTATACTTATTATTCATTATTATATGAAATATAAATCATATAAAATATGAATTGTGTGAGTATAAGACGACCTGACGATGGACAACATCAACAACGCTAGTCGAATACTCGAATGACTAAAATCTAAATTGTAGAAAAACGATCATTTTTACAATTCAGTATAAATTGCAATGCTCTGCCAATGATCCTCGTTTTAATAGTATTTTGTTATACACCGTACATGACAAAATATCTAAAAATAATATCCTCATCTGCAATTTGCGGGTGCCATGCGACGACGACGATAGCGGTCGATAAGAAGTGTCACGCACTCGCAGGCACAAGTCAATAAACTGTTTGAAGCCACAAAATTTGAAATTGAAATTTCACTTTAATACATCATTCTACTTCAAACGTACTGTCCTTAAAAATACTTCGATTTAAATTTTTAAAAAACATTTGAATTCTTCACAACATTTTCAAGGCATCGGTCGTGGCACAATTTTAAAATTAATTTCAGTTAATTAATTATTTCAATGTAAAAAAATGCAATTTTTTTACTTTTTTAAACTGAAATAATTAATTAACTAAAAATAATTTTAAAATTGTGCCAAGACCGATGCCTTGAAAATGTTTTGAAGAATACAAATATTTTTTCAAAACTTAAATCGGCGTATTCTTAGGAACAGTACGTTTGAATTAGAATGAGTTGTTTTCGACTAAAAAAACGCAGGTGTAGAGGCCCCTTAAGGGGGAACATCCCAATGAGTTATCGACAAATTCCGTAGGAGCGCGCCACTATTATCGGTTGCAATAAAATAATATAAATTGTACACGTACTGTCGTCGCACGTCGGCAACCGGCAACGTGCGACGGTCTGGTGCGATAAACAACAATGTTCTCAGTTTACAATACTATTGTCATATGCCTACCTACCTATCCGACCGATTATGAACCCATCGGCCGAATTTACGGTTAGGTACATATATACACCGTTCAAAATAAAAAGCGATCTCGGTGGCTATCTGAATGCCACGTGGAAAAACCGGTTTTCAGGTAGCCGCTGAAGTCGCTTGTTATTTTGAACAAGAATATACAAGATAATAATATTATTATTATTATTTATCATTTATATTATGAATGATATTAGAATTATTTGTTACTTCGTGACTAGGTCGTACTGTGTAGATTGCTATACTTAAATTTAGATACATTTTGCGTTTTTACCAAAACGAATGTTTAGGCATGTTATATGTCATTACCATTTGCGTCCCTGAAGTGAAACGTGAAAGCGGTAAAAGCGCAAAGTGTGGTTTTTTCTAAAAAATAACGGCAAACAAAAACATGGCCGACCATTTAAAAGCAAAAAAAAAAAGCTCGAGACCCCAACTCATTGAAAGTTTAACTTATAATAGAATGCAAAAAAAATATTCTCTAGTCGTTCCAGAGACTTCTTCAAGTTCTCTAGAGATTCCTCTTTCTGTGGAAAATACAAATATGTAAGTATATCATTGCAGTAATAATAAGTATTTGTTTATTTGACCAATGATATATTATAATAAAATGCAAGCCAATAGAGGTATAATCTCCATTAGCATACATACTCTGTAATACAAAATATAATGAATTATCTATTAACCCATTTTCCAAAATTTAACCCCTAAGAGTGTAAAAAGAAAACGCGTATATTCAAAACAATAAAAACTCTCCGTTAGCTTGGATCAAATTAAAAAAAAAAGAGCATATTGCAAAACCCCGGGCGAAGCCGGGCAACACAGCTAGTATACTATATTATAGTACATACTACAGGTACACACATATATATATATATATATATATAATAAAAAAAGTAAAATATGAAATTATCTCCTACTATTAGGTATAATTAGTAAATATTTTGTTCATGAGTCATAAGTCTTATTGCTTCCATTAGCAATCAAATATTCAAATGGAAAATGTTATCATCTTATCAATTTTTCGTCCCAACGCGTCCGACCATCAGTGATGCCGACTTCTTGTCGGTATAGAGGTCTTATTCCCGTATAACCTTTTGGTTTTTTTCCGTTAATTAATTTCACCATTTCTTATGTCGAGTCATTAGTTTAAGCTATTAACGAATTATCGTTGTTTTACACTTTAAATTTGGCCAATGTCCATCACTCATCTGTATTTAGCGTCGGCGTCTACACAATGGTAATATAGATAAAAGATATTTTGTGTGCCGGACATGCCCGCACTGTAATAACACAACAAGCGACGCCTCAGTAAAATCATAATTTCACAATGTTGTTATTTACCAAACGACTCGACTGCTTAGTAGACGAGCCTTGAGTATTTAGGATAATAATTTAACTGCTAAATCCTTAGAAATTGGATCGAGTTTAATTTTGAATTTATTTTTAAGAGTTTGATATTAATTTTAACTTATAGTGCTCATCCGCCGTGTACGATAATGTCTGTGGATCCCTTCCGTTTCGATAAAAGTAAGTTACGATTACAGTCTCTTCTTTTTTTTTTTTTTTACTTTTATGTATTATTATTTTTTACCCGAGTAAACTAATAAGGTGATTCAAAATTGACGGTGATGAAATTTAAATACGAATGAGGACATTTTAGAGATATTGAAAGTAGGTAGCTAAATTAAATATTTTACATTGGATCTGCTGGACAAAATTAAGTAGAGTATATTTATCTAAGAGGTAGCATTAAGTTTGTATCTGTAGTAGCAATAATTAATGAGATTAGGGAATAGTTAATACAGGCAGGGGATACAACAGAGAACGAGGTCAAGAAAACAGCAGTAGCGTTTGATCTTATGAAAAGTGAACAAAGAGTAGCCATTATTTATAAAAAGTAGGTGAGTTTTGTTGAAAGTGAGTTAAGATGATATGAATTAGGTAATAACAAATATTGTTAAAATTTTGAGTAATATGCACTGATTGGATAGAAATCTAACAAAAAGAAAAGATTTTTGTGAGTAAATAAAAAACCAGAATGCTGCAACAACCATTTTTATACAAATATATGCAATATTTCTTTTCATTATAAATAAATAAAAATTTTAAAATCACAATTACGCCAAATTGATTTGAATCGTTTGTTATTTGACAGATGACATAGTGCTGTGTTACCACAGATCTATGCTATATGAAGCAAAGTGCTTAAAACGACGAATTGGACCTGACGGTGAATTGAACTACTACATTCATTACATAGGGTGGAAAACGAAATGGGATGAATGGGTACACGATGATCGTGTTTTGTCTGTAAATGAGTTTTCGCTTGACCACATGAAAGCACTCCAAGACCAACAGTAAATATGTGTTTTAATATTAATATTGTATCGAATGCAATTATTATGTCGTCAATTTTACCAATAATATTAATTTTTTTTGAGAGAGAGAGTGATTTTTAAATTTTCACATTATTTATAACATGAATCGATCAGTCTAATTAAATAAATACTTTTGTAATATTTTCAGCAAGTTTAAAAAACATTTTAACAAAGGAAGAGTTGGCAGACGTAAAAAAAATACTGAAGTAAACCAAACCACTGATGCTCCATCTTCGGCTACTGAAGAGTCTGGTAATTAATTGAAATTAAAAGTTTAAATTTTTTGACCTGAAACATTCCGGAAAAAAATCCAAATTTTACTAATTTACTTATTTATTTAAATAGAACCATCTTCTAATCCGGTTTTGGTTGCATTCAGAACTGTTGGTCTAATAGAAAATAACATTAATAACTTACCTGCCATACAAGAGTTTTTGGTAATATACCTTTTTATAATTAAATTATTATCTTAATAAATATTTTGTTTAACAGAAAATTGTTATTATAATCTTTAGAACATTGTTATGGCTGATAATTGATGTATGTGTTGAACGGATGTACGTATACAGCCAAACAGTTATTTATTTTGATTTTGACTTTGTCTGCAACAAAACTATTAATTTTTCTAGCCTCCATACGATAAACAACTAAAATTTGATGTGCCTACAATTCTGAAACGGCGATTGTCCTACGACTATAATATGATAAACGTTTTTAACAAGGTATTTAACAAGGTGTTTTAAACATTTTAATAATATTTGGTCACTTTGTTAATAAATTGTTTGCCTAATAATGGTGTGTAAAATATTTTAGCAATTAAAGTTTCCATCCAAATTCACTGTTATGCATCTCATTGATGGTTATATCGGTTCCAAACAAAAATCAACAATATTTGTTAGGTAATTATTGTTTTTCTTACAAAGTTAATAGTATAATAGTGTCGAAAATATAATAAGATATTTTTAGGGAAAGAGCTTTGTGTGTTGGATCGACTTTTATTCAATATTTTAATTCACGAATACAGACGCTGCTATATGCGAAAGAACGTAATAATGAAGTGCACAATAAAGTAAATTATTTTTCGTTGATGAGATTTTATGTAATGAGAATTTTTATTTAATAACTTTACCAATATTTTTCTTTTAGGCTGTTGCTCTGTTATCAGAAAAAATAAGACTTGACAGTTTACAATTCAAATATAAAAACATTTATTCGGAAGACTTGTGGTGTACAGTTTATGGACCCATTTATTTACTAAGGCTATGTGGTACGTATGAAATATTGACTTTGATGTTAGCGAAATGATGTTTTATTAATTCCTTATAAACGCGTTCAGGAGCTCATTTAGTGAAAAAGAACACCTTCCTTACACTCAACCGTTTTTGAAGTGTTTTTCCAAACATTGATAATAACATTTTATATGGTCTTACACGAAGTGCTATCCTAATAAACATAATTTTTTAGTGTTTTTGTAGTGTCCTAATTATATTTTTTATACATATACCTATGTGTATTTTAGTATTCGATACTTGATGACATATTAATGGATTTTAATCAATTTTTCAGTTAATTTGAAAAAATTTCTAAGACCAAAGTTTGTGACCGAAGACAACCAGCTCTCTTCCATTGCTGATAGCATAAATGATTTTTTCAAGTAAGAATTAAATTTTTTTTTTTAATTTAACGATCCATTTAGTTAAACTATTATATTTATTATGGTTTATATAAAATAATAATCAAATGAACTTGCTGGTTCATCTATGGTTATCATTTTTAATAATAAAAAAAAAAACGGAACACTATTTTGTCCAAACTTCTAAAGAAAGAGCTTCAATAAAAAATTGAAAATTACTTTTTGCACCTTTTGATAATAACAATTTTTATTATTATAAATAATATTTTGATAATAAGTATTATTATTTTAAATTACTTTAATTTATTAATAAAAAAATCGTTTTAATTTCTTGTTTTGTATTAATAGTTCACTGACTAACTTTCAAGTTTCATTTTTTTTTATACAGTTCAATAAGTACATCTTTATTTTTTTTTTTGTAAAAATGAGTGGCAAGAATTAGAAATTTTCTTTTTTTTCTCATAGAAAAAGTCATATTTTTTTCTACCCAAAATTCTATTTTAGTTATTTTAAAATCTTTTTTTGAATAGTTATTTAAAAATAGTTAGCGTTTAATTCCACTACTTTCTCCACACTTTCGAAATCTAAATCAAAATTAATAATTATTGCTCTATTTTTATTAATATTTTGATAAGATAGCTGATAAAGAGAGAACCTAACCATATTCTAAGAACCGGACAAAAAGCGTCCAGTCGAAAGTCAGTTAGTGGGACAAGGGAATATTTAGCTCCAAAAAGGGACAATCCCATTTTTAACGAGACGTATGGTCACCCTAGGCTAAGTGAGAAGGTTAAGTGAGTGATAACTCGTGTTTTATCGTAGAGGGCCATGCGATTCAGTAGGAATTAGACAGAATATGTTGAGATAATTAGAGATATGATTTATTAGCAAAGATAACTTCTGCAATAGATTCATCGCTTTATGCAAGGTGTAAACAACAGAATGCGTTGAGGATGTATAGTACAGAGTTAGATAAATAAGATAAATGGTGGTAGGGTTGAAGCAACAATGTGAAGTAGCTTACATTTTTAAAAACTGATCCGTAAAAAAGCCACATTTGTTTCAATCTCAACTTTAGTCAACAATCGACGAGCAATTCAAATTGAGCAGTCGTGTACGTAGGTATCGACTATAGTTTGATGGTAAATTGTTTAGTTATTTTTTCAAAAAATAAAAAAAAACATTTGGGTCTAAAATATAATTTTATTCTTATGTTATGAAACATCAACACTGTTTTCTGACAACCTTTCTATAAAATGTCTTTGTTAAAATATTTGTTTTCAGGTACCTAGAACAGCAACATTCCAAATATTTTGCCAACGATGACTACGAACCTGCAACTGATACGAGCGAGACAGAAGTATCGTTAACATAATCTATTTTTCACATCACTAAAAATTCATCCTCTCAATTCTTAGTTTTCTTCCTATTTTGATATAAACTAAATTATTTGAGCAGTGAAGTATAATTTTATGTATTTTATAATGTGTTCAGAATTTATATTTGAATTTTTTTCTACGTCATCCATCGCACATTCAACTTTTTTCCTCTTTTTATCTTTTGACTTATCAATTTTTTTTTTTTTTTATGACGTAACTGACGTTTGGTCGATAATGTACATCAATTTTTAGTCATAATATTATTTGTATTTTTACTAGTTGTCCAAATGTATATTTTTTCAGTCAATTATCTATTTTGTATATTGTCATTATATTTTTTGTTCAATTTTATTCGTAAGCCAACTAATAATTATATTTTTACATCAATTATTGTCACTTGCTATTATTGAATGTGCCAATATTTTTCCTTTTTTAGTATAAGATAGTACCTACAGTTTGGTTAGATGTTCCTGAGTGGTACCAAAAATAAATAAATTGTATCCATACTCTTTTTAATCCCACCTTAATTTCTACTCTACGCTTGTACGAACGGTCCATCTGTTCAGGTCAAATTTATTAAAACGAGTTATTATTATTCTTTTAAGTAACTTTTATATTAATTGTATACAATACACCTTGTGTTATTTTTAAGTGATACTAGCAATTTTTTGTGTTGCATGATTTAATTGTATTTTTAAGCTTGTGTCAATACGAATGCCAAATAAAATATTTATTTACTTTTGTCTTAAAATTGTTTAAAACACTTTTTTTTAACTTGAGCAATTATTATAAACTATAATGATTTCCGATTTTATAAAGACGAATGTAGTAAAAAACATAATAGTTAAGGTTCGAATGATTTTTCATAAATATTAATTTATAGAAATAACGATTGATAAAATGAAATAAAATAACCAGTATACAGGTATTTTTATGAGTTATATGTGCAAGCATTTAGTGAAAAGATGGCAATATGTACTTTGAGTGATTACATGATTATAATAATTAAAGTATTGAACAAATTAAAAACAAAGTTAGATGTTTAGAGTTTGAATATTTGTTCCACACATAAATTGTCATTTATTGGTAAATAATCAAATATTTTTTAGACCTGGTTACTGAATGGCTTTAGGTGTTATTCTTTTTTTAAAATTAATGTGCTTTTATTTAAACAATATTACTGCACGACAATTACAGGTGTTAGGTCCTTATCGAGGCAAAAAATGTGTTTCCCTAATCCAAAGAAGTTCGATTTATGGACATAAAATTTTGATTCATTTAGAAAATCCACTCGCACACACATTAGATGATTTGGCATGGAGTGATTATAAAAAGTAGTTTTTCCAAATAGGCAATAGTTATTTAACTTTCAAATACAAAAACTTTATCTTCAAACAAAATCTGTAGTGTTACCCTATCAAATTGTTTATAGGGGGTTATCTTATGTATTTTATAGAGCAAGAATTAAAATGGGTACATTCATTTATTATTATTTTTTTTTTGCTAAATCTGATTCGGGCCTTAGATTTTTTCAAGCACGTTTAGTTATTTTTCAAATAACCTCTAAAAATGTGAAATAAACCGCTTTGTGTATTATTTTTAGCATGTTCGATACGGTTGCATAATTATCTAAAATATACTTCAAATAGAGTATTTGTGTTTAGAACTAATCTAAAAATTACTTAACAGTTTTTACAATTTTTTTTTTTTAAACCAAAATAAAAATTTTAATTTTGTTTTTCACAAATAATTTTTTACAATACACAAATACACTTTTATTTTGTGTATTGTAGTTCAAAAATGTATATGCTAATGAAAATAGTAGGCCAATTTCGGATTCATTAAATAGGTATATCCTATTAAAGTAGTACTTTTTTCACTCTCAATTAAGACCGCTTTGGCTGGCATAACTTGAGCATTACAATCAATTTGGATCTTAAGAGAGACACTATTGTGACGGTCGTTCCTTTTGATGGTTCAATTTACATGGTTCAATGGGCTAGGCATATATAGGTGTATCACAATGATCCGACAGCTTCGCATATAAATTGTATGAAAAATCTTTTAGATGACTGATACACCCTGTATACTATAAAGAGCCTGTCAATTAGTGTATTATTTAGATTGGGTCCTGTCCCTACATCCTGTCCTTGTACCTACGGTTTAACAAATGAGCCGTTTTATAATTCTACAATAGAACTTTGATGTATTATAAGTTAAAACGAGCAGTGGCGGTTCTGGCATTAAATTGTTAAGGAGGCAACAACTTTGTACCCTTATTGATAAAAAAAAGCGCAAAACCCCCAGACCTAAAATTTCTTCATACTAGTTTTGTTAGCGTACTTCCTTTTTTTAACTGTACCAGAAGGCTTTTGCTTATTTTCCTAGTTATTAGTTGACTAGTATCTTTCTAGTAAAAAATAATTCTTATTCAAGTTTAACAACATATTAAAATATTTAAAACAAATTTAATAAAGAAATCAATTAATAATTTTAAATAAAACAAATTGTAATAATAACATTTTTTTGGGCTAGTATCTTTCTAAAAAAAAATAATTTATATTAAAGTTTAACAACATATTAAAATAATCCTATCAAATTTAATAAAGAAATCAATTAATAATTTTAAATAAAACAAATTGTAATAATAACATTTTTTTTGGGCTAGTATCTTTCTAGTACCTAACAAAAAATGAAAAGTACAAATTTTAGTAGGGTAGAAGTTAAATAATAAAATATGTTGAATTCAAATTTGGATGTATGAACTAGTATCTTTCTTGTAACAAAAAATTAAAAGAACAAATTTAAGAAAGATAAAATTTTAAACATATATGTTAAATTATAAATGTATAAACTATGTTTTATATTTTAACTCAATATTTCTATCTTTTTATCAGCATATATATTAATGATATCTTCATAAAATGGTTCATTTTCTTTCAGCTGTTGGATTAATAATTTTTCTATACTTATTGTAGACAGAGAACTTAAACGTTGTTGGGATGTACTATTCCTTAAATATGTTTTAATTCGTTTCAGGCAAGAGAAACTTCTTTCGACAGAAACACTAGTAGAAGGAATTGTTAATATTAGAGAAAATAGCTTATAAACTTCAGGCATAACTTCTTTTAAATAATCATTTTCAAAAATCTTAACCATGTCATAAATGTGTGATAGATTATGATATTTGACATCATTGTATAAGACTTCTAGTTCTACTTTTAATTTGTCCATATCTTGAAAAATATTAGAATATGCTTTTTTAAGATTTTCTAAAGCACTAGTGGGAAAATTACAAGAATAATCCTTAAATTTTGTAACATCAGCTAACTGTAAATAAATTAATTTATCAGTATCATTAAATCTAATACTTAACTGCATTAAAATATTATCAATAATTTCATAAAATAAAATTTTAAAACTTAATTCACTATTTGAATTATTTCTTGAAGCTTTGGGAAGTTTAGTTAAGGCCACTGCTTTGTTATATAAACTCAAAAAGTCTCGTTTCTTTTTTGTTTTATAAGATCACATGTAAAGTTTATTTTTCTCAAACAATATTCTATATCAAAATATTTATTTTGAAGAGTGTTAAATATATCTATAATTAAAAATATGTCACTAAAAGTATGTGATAAAAATGCAAATTCAAAAGTATTCAATTGTTTTAAATGACCAACTGATCCACTAATAGTTTCAGATGGTGATTTAGGATTGTTTATAATAGTTTCAAAAACTGTTTTTAAGTTGTTCCACTCTTTAACTACTAAATGTAAAATCTTTGAACGCGATGCCCATCTAGTTTGAACAAACTGGGGAATGCGTTTCCCTATAGTACTGTCAACTACATTAGTGCGAGATGTTGAATTATGAAAGAATGTACTTGTCATATTAGCGAAAAATATGCGACATTTTTGGTTATTACTACATCCATGTTGTAGTACTAAATTTAATTTATGTGCTAAACAATGGGTAAATAAAGCATTAGGGGCAATTTCTTTTATCCGGGCTTGTAAGCCGTTTAAATTTCCAGCCATCACACTAGCACCATCATAGCACTGACCAACCAATTTGTTTTCAATACTGAACTCTTTTAAAAGGGAATTGATTAAATTAAATAATTTACCGTGTTCACTAATAACATCTACAACACTAACGGTGTTTTTTTCTAAATTTTTTAGATTTAAATAGTTATGAACATGATCTTTAGAAGCTTCGTGTCTTTGAATACTTCTTGAGATACTTTTAAAGTCACAGTAACCTGATGAGGTCCAAATAGAATTTGTTTGGCTCAATAAAATGCATGGCCAACAGAATAATTTTTGTAAATAAAAACTTCCACACAACCACGCATGTTTATTATACAAGTTTGAATTAAAAGAGCTACAAAACACTTTAGAACCTTTTTTGTCTGCAGACAAACATGTCAGAGGAGGAGTTGGTTTACCTTGCTTAATCAAATCGTTTTTGTCATTATTACTCCAACGCCTGTATGGATGTTGCTTAATAACTACTATACTGTCATATACAGAATTAATTTTGAACAAAAATAATGAAACTAATATGTATAAAAATATATTAACTAATAACTTATGAAAACTAAATAAAACGCCAAATAGGATGCCGGTATCAGAATCAAGTAAAAAATATAGTGATATCAAATTAGGAATGCTGATAAATGATTTAGTGAGAATGGGAAATGGCGTTTTGTTGTTGGCAGTGTCGGTGCTGATGAACATGCTGAATATCTATGCCCCCTTTCTGCCCCAAGACAAGAACGATCATCGGTCAATTGCCCACAAAGGCAATATTTTTGTGTCGCCTCTCGCAGAGAATTGCACATGCGCTATTCGTATTATGTTATGTATGTGTGTGTGTATGTTGTGAACACAACAACATAACGTGAGATACTAGCGGCGGCGACCAGCGGCAGCCGCCTCCGCCGGCTGCCCTTATGCCACGTGTGTAAAAACAGGCAGCGGACGGCGGCGGTTGTCACCGCCGATACGGAGAGACGTTATTTCAAATTCTTAAATTTTTTTTTTCGCTTTCAAAAATTATTGTTCATATACATTTTTTCCAATATTTTCGATTGAAAATATTTATTGTAAACCAAAATATCTCATCATAATAACAATATTAGGTACATAGTTTCCTTAATTTTCAAGGGAGGCACCGCCTCCCTAGCCTCCCCGGGAAAACCGCCACTGAAAACGAGTCTTGTCTGACCGTTTCAAAAATATTTATTTTTTAAGATTATTTTTCTAATAAGAATTCTTGCCCTATTTTAATTTTTAGACCACGATAATTAGAGTTACAATATTATATTATTAGCAATTCCGTTTATTAAACATACATTTATTATTTAATTGCTAAAAATGAATTTACTGTGTTAGTTCACTATACAAACTTACAGACCTCGCCATGTAAATGGATTCAGAAGTTACTATTATATTAACTACCCTTGTGCAGACTTGGTTATTATTTTAATACTATATATTGAAATATCAATTTAAATGATAATTTCAAAAAAATCTGTGTCTAAATGAATAATAAATAGCTTATAAAAGTTGTAATAATAATTAAATTTAGAAATGTATTTAATTAAAAATTCAATAAATTTAATATTTGCCAACCTGAAAAAATATAAACTAAACCACCTAAAATATTTGAGTCTTTATTTTAGAAATGCTGAACCG